AGTCCCGGCGGTACCATGGGTGTTTGCAGTGGTTCGGAATTTTAAACAGTAGGTCTAATATATCTTTAAACCGTAAATATAGTCTAAGATATCATTAAACCGTATATATAGTCTAAGATATCATTAAACCGTATATATAGTCTAAGATATCTTTAAACCATAGGTCCCGGTTTCTAACCATAGGTCCGGTTCTAATATGACTATAGAGCGTTCGGCATAGGGCTGACAACTACCCCGTAAAATGAAAACATCTGTCATTTCGAAATCTTCCAGTAGGCAGACGGCCTTGGCCCACCATAGAGCTGTTTCGCTACTGATGATGATGATATTTATTCTAAGACAATTCTCTCTGCCTATTCTGTCCGGTTCTAATATGACTATAGAGCGTTGGGCATAGGGATGACAACTTTACCCCGTAAAATGAAAACATCTGTCGTTTCGAAATCTTCCAGTAGGCAGACGGCCTTGGCCCACCATAGAGCTGTTTCGCCACTGATGATGATGATATTTATTCTAAAACAATTCTCTCTGCCTATTCTGTCCGGTTCTAATATGACTATAGAGCGTTGGGCATAGGGCTGACAACTTTACCCGTAAAATGAAAACATCTGTCGTTTCGAGAAATCTTCCAGTAGGCAGACGGCCTTGGCCCACCATAGAGCTGTTTCGCCACTGATGATGATGATATTTATTCTAAAACAATTCTCTCTGCCTATTCTGTCCGGTTCTAATATGACTATAGAGCGTTGGGCATAGGGCTGACAACTTTACCCCGTAAAATGAAAACATCTGTCGTTTCGAAATCTTCCAGTAGGCAGACGGCCTTGGCCCACCATAGAGCTGTTTCGCCACTGATGATGATGATATTTATTCTAAGACAATTCTCTCTGCCTTTCTGTGTTAAAATAAAAAGGAGCTTTTGCAAAATACATTGCAATTGTTTTTTTTTTTTTTTTTTTTTTTTTAGTAGTGGATTTTCGAAAAAGCTTCTACATTTTAAAAATTAAAACTATTTTTAAACGAAAAAAAAAAAAAAAATTTTTTTCGTTGATGAACCTCCTTTTATGTATATCATAAACAATCGATCAACAGGTAATGAAGGAAGAGCATTGCTTTCCGGCTGAACTTTTAAGGTAGCAGTCCCACATTCGTTGTCGAACAGGAGAAAACCCGGAAAACTTCCGCCAGACGACCCCGCAATCATGAATGAGTTTCCTCTTCTCTGAAATTAGTAACTGCAACTGATACAATCAGTGGATTCAAATCTTAGCTTCTCCTACAAGCTAGCACAACACGAGTTGGACGAAATGATAATTAATACATAAATAAAACTATTTAACACTGTACTTTAAAAAAAAATATGTTTTTATTGTAGTGGAAATGCAATGCCTTTACAATGCCGTTTCATAATCCTTTTTATAATTTTTATATGCATTTGTAAACTTTAATTTTTCATCCTCATTCTTTTTAAAACAATAAATGAATTCTTGATTACAATTTAAATAAAAGAAAATTTAAACAAACATGAAAAATAAAAAATTTTCTTCTCGTACACCGTCTATTAAGTACGTTCGATTTTTTTCTAATGATAAGTATAAAGAAGTTAATTCAAAATTTCAATGAAAATTGATCAGTTTAAGTTTCTATGTTTTACTATAAAATATGAAAATATAACTTTACTATTTTATTACAAACAAAAAAAAAACGAATAAAAATTTTTTTTAAATAATTTTAAAATAATAAAATGAAATTAATATCAGTAATTTTAAGATCTCAATATAGGACATGAAACTGTTTTGTCTTTTATGTATTGCAAGTTTATTTTATTCTTTTAATCCTCCAAATTAAGTGTATAAGTCAAAACGAATCTCTTGAATACAGATTGAGTATTATTAGTAGAGAAAAAAAAATTCTGAAATAATTATTTCAAAAACATATTATAATGTGATTGAAGTATTTTTATAAACTAAAAAAAAAAAAAAAAAAAAAACTGTCTAAAAGCACTCCAAGTCATTAACAACCAAACAAGAATCAACATAACATTCACACGTTAATTTTACGAATACATACGCATTTTTGTATATTTACATTATAATTTCGCCATTAAAACTATAAAAAAGCTTTTAAAGTATACAGAACAACAGTAATAAACAATTTCGAATAATTACAAAATTAACAACATATCGATTCACCTTTTTTTTTTTCCCATCAGTCATCTTTTAAAGCTATAACTATATTTTTAATTAAGGTTACAGTTAACAAACTTACAGAGCGAAATATTTATTTAGTATTTTTTTTCCCAATCTTGAAAAAAAAAAAACAATTTTACAAAAATAAATAACAAAAAAATTAAATCAAATCGACAATTTCCATAATTAAAAAACGCATTAAAACACCCTTGGAAAACAGCTAGCAAAAGAAAAGCTCGGCGTTCGAAAAGAAGTCTCAAAAAACAATTCCAAGCGGAATATTCTGGAAGCGAAAAGCAAAATAAAAACGAATTAAGCAAAACGCGATTGCGAAACATTCCTTCGTACGAAGTGGAAAAAGAACAATCTCCCAGCGAAAATTGCACGGGGAAAGAACGTTCGAAAACTTCCCTGTTTGGTCGGTCGCCATTTTCGAACTGCTGACTGAACGTGATTGCGCATGCGCGGGCTTTCATTGATCGCAATAATCTGGCGTTGATTTATGACTGCCTGCTTGCCTTAAAGAGTTTCTATGGGCTAATCATATTGTAATCGACAGACTCATCAGCAGATAGCCTGCACTCTCTGAAAGTAAAGCGTCTTCAATTTCATTTTCGTAAAATGAAGAACAATCTGTGAGAGGATGAAAATGACTTATCGTTGGCGGCTTGACAAGATATTCTGGTAGCGGGTGGATTTTTAATCAGACGTTCTTTTTCAAGTTCTTCTCAATAAGAATACGGTTGTTAGCAAAATCAATCAGATGCTGAAATCGTAAAGTGTTGATTCTCAAACGTTAAATTATTAATAATTGAATGCATTCGTAATAAATATTTTATTTTTGTATCATTAATTAAATAAATAATTTAAAATTCCTTAAAATAATTGTTTTATTTGAACAGAAATTGATATTTAAATAAAGAATTGCATTTGCTGCTACAATAAAAAACGATCAATTATAAATAATTGAAGTCATTCGTAATAAATATATTATTTTTTTGCCGTTAATTAATTAATTATCAGTTCAAAATATATCTTTCTGGAAATAAACATTCAAGATTTTTTTTATTTAAACAGAAATTGATATTTAAACAAAGAATTGCATTTGATGCTAATATAAATAAATGCAAAACATCATATTGTTGATATGGCATTCAATGCATTGGTTTTTACAAAAATATGCTTTAAAAATAATGCAACATTTATACATAAAAATTTATATAAAAATCGTATCTTTTTTACTACAGAACTGCAATAATTAAGGATATTTAGAGATAAAAATTATTATATTTTATTAATAAATAAGTTAATAATAGTTGCTAATTTTTTAATTGAACAAAAATTAATATTTAAATACAGAATTGCATTTGATGCTAATATAAATAAAAGCAACAAAACATCATATTTTTGACATCGCATTCAATGCATTAGTTTTTTATAAAAATATCCTATAAAAATAATATAACATTTATGCATAAAAATTTATATACAAATACAAATATAAAAATCCTATTTTTTTTTTCTACCGAACTGCTTTAATTAAGAATATGTATAAACAAAAGTTATTATATTTTATTAATAGATTTTTATCATTATAGGGACATATATAATACAGGAATATATATTTCCTAATTAAAAACGATGGATTGGTTTATTTACAGTTATGTTATGATTAATGGTATATGCCAAAAGGTAATAAATGGAATGGTAATACGTTTGAAAAGCACCTCATTAATGAACCAATCATACAAACTAGATTTAAAAGTTTTGTTTTTAATATTAACAAACTGGAAAGTTTTTGCTTTTAATGTTCAACGGTTGTGAGTATGTCACTGTTTCTATTTTTGTTAATTAAAACTATAATTTTTCTTACTTTCACGATGCTCGTTTTATAATCGAAATTTCTGAATCAGGCTGGAACGGGTTTTCAACCAAAGGTTTTTGGATTGGATCTCAACAACCAATACCAAATCGAAAGCTTCCGTGTCTATCCCGAAAATGGATATGATAATTGGTCAGAAACCCAGATGTAAACCTTGCGGGGGGGTAGTAATTACTCCTGGGTAAAGCTAAATCTGCGAAGCGAACCATTATAGCAGCGAATGAGGAACAAGGTCCCTGGCATTCAAAAACAGCAACATAATTCTAAATTACCGCTATAAAAATTAACATTAACAATAGACCGTTATGGCCGAGTGCCTGGCGCTTTTAGCCACAGGTTACGGGTTCGCGTCCCGGCAGTGCCATGGGTGATGTCGGCAATTTGTAGTGGTCCGGAATTTACTTTAAGCCGTAGGTTTCGGTATAATATGAATCTAGAATGCCGGGCATAGGGTTGACAACCCTACCCAGTAAAAAGTCAGAGTCAAGTAAGACTTCTACCTATAGGTGCTCCATCAACCTATCCATCCTACCTATATGTGCTCCCCCTATCCTACTTCTGAGACCACATGGGTTCTTAGACTTGGCCTAGATGTTGCTATCTACTAAGTGGGATAAGACAACTACTTTGACAATAAAATCGTTGTTGTTGTTGTTTCTTATCCCACTTGGCTGGCCAAGCCCACGAGCCCATATGGACTCATGATTGAAGGGGAAGGAAGCAGCTTCTGTTGTGATGGAGCACCCGTAGGTAAAAGCCTGACTTTTGCTCCGTGACGCTCTTACAGTCATAGAAGACCGGGACCTACGGCTTAAAGTGGATTCCGAACCACTACAAACATCCATGGCCCCGCCGGGATTCGAACCCGAAACCTGTGGCACCGAGCGCCAGAGCGCTAGACACTCGGCCATTCAGGTCCCAAATTTGCCAACGGCACGCAGTGTTCCCAGGTGGTCACCCACCCAAGTACTGACCGCGCCCAATGATGCTTGACTTCGGTGATCTAACGAGAACCGGTATATTCAGCATGGTACGGCCGTTGGCACAATAAAATCGTAGGTTGTATATAACCACTATCCATATATCAATTTTTTCGTTTTTCTCCTTTTCGCTGTAACGAGTGTTAATTGTATTTAAGTTTTAAAAGTAATAACTGAATCTCTTCATATTGCAATTTATTTAAATTAAAAGGACAGGCTTTAAAAATCATTAATAATAATCCGTAATGTAATTAATCTTATTTTTCTCTAAAAGAATTTCGTGTCATTTCATTTAAACTAAGCCATATTTAATTAACCGTATCACCTCTTGTTAAGATTAAGAAGAAAAAAAAAGTTAACTCTTCAGAAAAATCTTAAAATCGGAGAAATATTTAATATAAAATACTGCATCTGTGTGCATCATCAAAAATATCTAATGCATAAATTGAAGATTAAAGTGAATCTGGATAGTTATTTATTTTATTTAAAAAAAATAAGATTTTGTTTACTCTAGAGTAAAGAAGTATATGATAACTTCATCAAATACTCAATTGTAAAGGGTTACTTATTACAACAAAATTATTATTTATTTATTGTTATTAATAGCTGTCTTATTCTATCCATAGATCCTAAATTTCTAAAATTATGATTTTTTTTTATGGTTCCATTTCATACAAAAAGATGTTAAGAAATTAAATTTTTCTAGTCTTCTTTTTGTTGCTGTTGTTGTTTCGTAAACAATAATTATTACTCATAAATTTTATGAACAAAACAATAAAAATTTACTCAACTAAAATACTCTGATGCTGTAGAAAAAAAATGGCTAATAAAATAGATGTATTTAATTTTAAATTGATAATTAATTAAAAGAATCATTCATAACATCTGATATACAAAACTAAACTGTTAATATAATCATAACATCATACATAATAACAATTCCAGTATAAAATATGAATCCACACTACTGCAGCACAATTTAAAATCAATTTGAGATACAATTGTCAACAAAAGACAGGAAAATCACACTTTCTATATTGTCAAGACGACAGCAATTCAGGTATTGATTGTGCTGATACCACAAAATATGGTTTTCCGGCCATCCTAACCAGCATAACAGTAAATAAATTAATTAAAATAACATCAAAATAATATGATAATACATTACTTTAAATCATTATCATTATTTTCCAATTAGGAATTGTATCATTGCAATCGTTAATTTTTAAAATTCTTAACAGTATTCCGATGATGAGAAAATTAGTAAAATTACAGAATTAAGAAATAATTTTTTTAAAATTTAACGCCAAATATAACTCCTTTTTTTCAAGAACTATTAAGACTGTGAATTCGAAATAAATGTTTTCATCTCCAGAAAAAGATACAATATATTAAAAAAAAAAAAATTATTGCTATGTTAACTCAAAAATGAACAGCATTTTTTTAAAAATAATTTATAAGATCAAAAAAGAACAGGGTTTCCCCCCTTTGGAAATCGTTAGGAAAAAAATTCTGAACTAACATTGTTTTATTCTTGGCGAAGTTCGTAAAAGCCTTGGCGATAAAAATGTGTTTCATGAGAATTTTTCTACATGTTAATTAGATAACTAATACAATTATCCAATTAATCTTGAATCTCAACAAATAAAGATAAAAAATTTTACTTTTTTATCCGGAATGTCACATTTTTATATTCTTTTAATTTTTATTGCTTTTCTGTCTCGTACGGTTTGATGCGAGTTAGGCTTGTATTATTAAATAGCTTGGTGAAATTCTTGGTTGCCAAATGAAAAAATCGCAAACAGAAATGGACTTGGCATCTATTATGTAATTTCTAATCAGTCGCTATTCTGTTGTGAATGACCTCCTGTCAAAATACCTAAATTTTAAGTACAAAATTAGACTTAAAAGTAGTATAACAAATGTTATGAGTTGACAAATGTTATTTCTACACTAAATGTATTCGCTAAATTTTAATCCTTTTGATGTTTGATTCCTTTTTCAATGCATTTTCATAACAGTACAAATAAACGATGCAATCTATGCTTAAAAATTTAACATAGCCTCTTTCGTACTGTCTTTGCTTGATAGAATTTTGCCTTGCGTTTACTTATACATAGAAATCTATACAAAAATTTATTTATCAGCTGAAAAAATTATATTAGTTTATACAATTTTTTTAATTATAATTTTAAAATCAAATTTGTTATTCTATTTTAAATGAAGTTTGTTATTAACGTTAAATGCAGTAGTTATTAATCGATTTCATTCTATCTATTCTTAGAGAATACATAATATTCTCTAAGAATAGATAGCCTATACATGAATTTTTCTGAAAAAAATTAATTAATATTGATAAAAATTAATTGACACTAATTATTAACTAAAGAAAAAAATATATAAATGTGCAGAAGAATTTAAAAAATAAAATATATAGATAAAGATAGAAAAATATTATTCATTACAAAAAGTATGAAATATATTTTGGAAAAAGGATGAATCTTTAGTAATTTTTTGTTTGTTTGATGTTTATTTTTTTCACATTTTAATGATTTTAATTTAAAATTTTTGACCTTTTCTGTTAAAACTAATCAAATTAATTAATTAAAAGATTTTGTTTAATTTAAAAGAATTAATTTAAATTTTTTCGTAAAATAAAGCACAATATTCATAGATAGTTTTTTTTTTTTTTTTTTTCAAAACTCACATCAGAGATAATGTTCAACTTTTATCAATGCAATCAACCCTAACACCAACACAGATCTATCATTTAAAGATTACTATTATATTACTTTTTTTAAAATATAAAGAAATGAATAAAAAATTTAAAAAAAAGAATATTAATTTTAAAATAGAACATTGAAAGAATTCAAATAAGACCAAACTCATATAAAATCCAAATATAAGAATTAGAAAAGAATGAAAATTAATAAAAATTTTGCAATAAGGCAAGCGAGATAGAACTAGAACTGTTATAAATTTAGAGATAGCTATAAATTGTATACACAAATCCAAATAGAATAGAATAAAACATATCTTTCCTAATTTATTATCCACCATAGGAATTAGAACCAAGAATTTAGAGCTTTAAAGTAATTATTTATAAATTTTCTTCACCTAAATTTTTTTACTATTTTAACAGCATTTGGATAAATTGAAATAAATCTCAAAGTTACAATACAAGACAAGACATCGCCCATCTCCTGTTTCTGATACTAACTAAAAGTAGTTTTGATTACAACTCTTCTAGGTACTTCCAACTTAAGAGAACACAAAATATACGAGTATATGTCAGAATGAGTTAGTAGGTTACTAGGTCTCGAAGCCGGAACCAGGAAAGTAGTTTGTTTTCTAAGAAAGCAAGCAAAAGACAAAGCATTGTATAATGCATTCTTGCCGTTCTGAGTAAAAATCATAATCAAACGATTTTGCAAAAAATAAATAAATGAATAAAATAAAATGAAATAAAAATTTGGCGATATATATATATATATATATCAAAAAATTTGGCGATATATATATATCGCCAAATTTTTGAAAAGAATTTTATATGAGCCGAACGACATCTGTTATGCCACTTGCCAAACGATATCCATGCAAATTGATAAATTAACAGTTACAGTTATTGTATTTAAATTCCTAGAAAAAACATAAAGTCATCACTAGAAACAAAAAGTTAAGACATTCATTGCGGAATGTCTTATTAAAGATATATTTTATCTGACAACAAATAAAGCATATAAGATAATATATTTATGAAATAATACTTATTTCTATTACAATTTTTTACACAACTATGGTAGTTAATCGATTGTTATAGTAAAAATAATGATTAACTATTAATCAAATGAAAATAAAAGAAAATAATAAAGTAATATATAAAAAATGTGTATAAGGTATTAAATATTTTTTTAAAGTTCAGTTTAAAAATATTTTGGAAAATTATTAGAAAAATTATTAAATTTGGATTATTATTTATTTATTAAAAATTATTGGAATTATTATTAATATTTCATTATCATTTATCAAATGTTATTAAGCAAATCAATTTGAATGTCATATGTAAAGTAGGGCCCATAATTAAAAAGGGGCTGTTCAAAATGCACCAATTGAAATGACTGATTTTAATTTGACGCATTGATGTTTAATTTAATCCTTATTTCTATCACAGTTTTTATATAACTTAGGACTAACACATAACTACATTTTACTACATTAATTACATTTTACATAACTAACTCACTTAATCGATTATTATAATAAAAATAAAGATTCGCAATTAATGAACAGAAAATAAAAGAAAATAATAAATTACTATCACATAAAAAACAATGTGTATAAGATATTAAATATTTTTTTAAAGTTCAATTTAAAAATAATTATTGGAATTTATTAACATTTATGAAATGTTATTACAAAAAAATCAACTTGAATGTCATCTTTATGTAAAGTAGGACCTTAAATTAAAAAGGGACCAATCAAAATGCTCCAATTAAAATGACTGATTTTAATTTGACGTATTGATGTTTAATTTAAACCTTATTTCTATTACAGTTTTTTACATAACTAAGGATTAGCACATAACTACATAACTTAACCACATTTTACTACATTAACTACATTTTACATAACTAAATAACTTCATCGATTATTATAATAATAATAAAGATTCACAATTAATCAAGTGAAAATTAAAAAAATTAATGAAGAGCTGTCATATAAATTTAATGTTTATAAAACATAAAATATTTTTTTGAAATTCAATTAAAAAAATATTGGAATTCAATATTACAAATTATTTATGAAATCTTATTACAAAAAAATAAACGTTAATGTCATCTGTATTTAAAGTAGAGCCCTTAAACTAATAAGAGACTATTCAAAATGCACTGATTAAAATGACTGTTTTTAATTTGAAACACTGATGTTTAATTAAATCCTTATTTCTATTACAATTTTTTATATAACTAAGAGAGTTAATCGATTATTATAATAAAAAGAAATATTAACATTTAATCAAGTGAAAATAAAATAAAGCGCTGTCATATAAAAAACAATGTT